GCTGTGGACAGAGACACCGCGTCTCTGTCTCTCTTCCAGAACAAGCGGAAGTTCTCAGTTGAGCAGTGTGGCCAAAATAACTTGTTTCTTTCTTTGCCTCTTTGAGTGCCTTCCTGCACCACTGTAATGGCTTGAGTTGAGACTGTGTCCTTTTCACAAGATAAGGAATGTGAGGAAAAGGGAGAATGACCCTGCTGAGGTTGGCTACACCTATCCTGTTTGCATTCTTGCTTCATCTGCCTCTGCTCTTTGTTTCTCTTCTGATACAGTCTGGCTTCAGCTTTCAGTCATTCGCTTTTGGCGTGTTTTCTGCATAAAAAGCCCTGTAGCACCTCATAGATCTTTTTCTACTTTTGGCAATTGAATATTTATTCTGGTATTTGTATGTCAAAAATCAAGATGTACTGTTGTTGGAAACAGTTTATTCCAATGTCGCATTCCAATTACTGATTAAAAATATTGTAAGAAACACATCGGGCTTTTTTATCATGAGCTATTCAAAATAGCTGTTAAGTCCTTTTATTTGAAAAGGCATAAGCTGGATGCAAGATGACCTGCCACTGGTGTTCTCATAAGAGTCTTATTATCAATGGCATGGAGGCATCACCTTCTAAAGGACTGGATTTTTTTTCTTTCTGATTAAGTACACATTTGTCCTAAAATGGCTGCTCTACTTCTACTCCAAGGCCGTAAATGTTAATGTTTTCAAATTTGGTTTCCTTTTAGTTTCTCAATTCTGATTTTCTGGTGTAACTCCAATGTGCAGAAATGTGTTTTTCAGTATTAGGTGGAATGTATATGTTCTAGAAGTTCTTATGATCAGCTTGACAGGGGATTTTTTGTTTGTTTTCCTTTAAGTGTTTGTACCAAATATGGCGAAAATGACCACAAAGAAAAAAAGTTTAGAATCTGTTTAAAAGTTTAGAAGAGGTGAGGTATACAAATAACTGGATGAGCCCAGGGAGAGATGGTCAATTGGTCAGTTGGACCATACTTTTGAGAACTTTCAGCAAGGAAGATAAACATGGGCAGCAATATTTAATTTGCAAATTTGAGAAGGAGAAAATGATCTGACCTAAACTCCAAACATTTTTTTGTTTTTCCAGCCTATGGCTGTTAGGTGTGCTTTTTGCCCCTGTGTTGACTCCATATATTCTTTCTGTAATTGCTGGAGAACATATGATATTCATTAGTCAGTATGCACACCTTATGTGCCTGCAGACTACTGGGGTGTGCATTTGCAGCAGGTATTTTGACCAGTATCTCTTATGCATATTAATCTTGGATGTTAAGTTTACAAATTATTCCTTTTTAGAAAAATAAAAGAGTTTTTTTATAAGTTTTTAATGTTTATCAGCATTCTTTTAAGGTCATCATATGCAAAGTACCACACTTATTTTACATCTTTTTGTGTTCTTCTCTTTCTGCATATTTACATTTCTTTCATTCCAACAGACTTTAAAAAGTATCTTTCTTTCTATCTTCATAGTACTGTTTAATTCTCTTGAGCAAAATTTCATAGAACCTTTTTACAGGTGCTGCTACAGCTTTGTCTATTGTGAGGAATGCAAATCTTTTTAATTTAATTCTTCCAGCTGTAAAGGCTAGACCTGTGTTCTCTTAATGCGGTCAATACTATTTAATTTTCAACCTTCTTTTTCATGGGCAAGGATGTCTGCCTAACACAACACTCTAGTGTAAGTTTCAAAAAACAGTACAGCATACATGAGTACTCTGGCCTGACAGAGAATTGAAAGCCACTGTCAATAATGCATATTTGTGGCATCCCAAAAGAGTGAGAGCGTCACATTTTCAAATGCCCTGAGTCCATATATGCTTTATTTTCAGATGAGTTTCGTAAGATGTGTGTACACCTTATTTAGGTAAGAACAGTTTTCACAAGTATCCAAGACTTAGCTAGCTGTACCAAATTAATCTTTCTTGCACACATATGATGAACTAGTACTTCCTTCGTAATAGAGCATGTAATGAAAGCTCCTTTAGAATTTCACTTCCTTTAAAGCCTAAAAGGGCAAACCTTTGGAAGAGGATAAAAAGTATTGTGAATGGGAGGTGCCTGTGGAGAAAGAGACAGGAACTATCTTTTTTGAACATGATCCAACAGTGTATTGAATTTTAAGGCAACACCCGAAGTTGCCTGCTTTGCTGCTGGTGGAGGGTGGCTTGCAGATGCTAACATAGAAAAAAAATAAATAGTTGGATATCCAGATTAATCACAAAACCTCAGGGCTTAAATTTCTGCAGATTGTTTTCTTTAAGTCCTGACCGCCTCAGAACAATATATTATAAATGATTTGTGTTAATTAGTTTAGTCATTAATTAGTCAAATCATAAAAAACTAATATTTTTCTTCTTCCTAACAGGAAGAGAGTTTTAATCAACGTGGGTTTGGGATGGGTATTTGCTATGTCTGTGCTATACACATCTAGGACTATTATGCATAATTCATTTATCTAGTAATGTGTTAATGAACACTAAGACATAAATTAGCAAGAACAGTTAATGACTTCTAAATCAGTCGATCACATGAAGACTGAACCTTATGGGATTCCAGATGTTTATACTGGGATCAAACTGTTGAATTTTTTAACCCTGGGGAAATACCTTTAATCATTAACTGGGTCACAGTATAAGTCAGTATTTTAGTTGGCAAACAAAGTAAACTGAAGGAGAAGTCTACAATCGTAGTTTTCATAGCTGTCATTCTCTAATTTAGCTTCCACCCAAGTGATTATCATTCCTACCAGTAGTTAACATTAACATTTACATGGTTTAGTTGGAGTTGCAGTGGGAGTGACAGTGTACGTTTCAGCTATCAGTCAGAACATTTTAATAAATAATGTTTTTAGCCTTGTTAAGAGAAGAATAGGAGAAATGTATAACTTATCACATATTCAAATAAATGAATGTGTAATTCTTGTTGTCATTTAGCATCTCAGATGTACATGCAGTTAGTTGTGCCTGCAATCTCTCACAGCTTTGCATTGCTGAAACATGGTTTAGTGGTGACTGCTTGGCTTATACTATGCAGTAAAAGTGAACACAGATTCATTGTCTTCAATGGCCATACTAGTGAAATCTGCTTCTAAAAGAAACTCCAGAACAAAAATGCCCCAAATGACAAAAAAAGACAGTTTCTTTATTTGACTCATGGCATAACACCAAAGGGCATTGAAGTAATATGGCAGTGAGGAATCAGTGTCATCTCTAACATTGCTTTTCTTTTATAAGAACATTTACATCTTTTATTTTGTAAGAACATTAATTATAAGTACATTTACTACTACTTCTTAACAGATTAGTTTTCTGAACAAACAAGGCCACAAGTTGCAGCGACAGTGCAGTACTGGGAATGAGCAGCAGGAGGTACTGTAGTACTGCTGTGGACAAAGCATTGTGGAACAAGTAACCTAAGATTCAGAATTGGAATTTAAATGTGTATACAGTCTTCATTGTTTGTGTGTAGCATTACATTAAGAAGGGAAATTCTATGACTACAAGTATATAGTAAGTTGACCTTACTATGACAATGTTCTAAGCTTGTAGTTTTTGTCATGCTGCATGCTGTTAAAATTTGATCTTTCCCGTGCGATTTAATACATTGACCTCATAGTATTTTCCACTGAAGCAAGAAGAAATCAATGTTAAAAAAAATTATTGCCATGTGAGAGTATGTTTTCTTACATAACAATTGTGTGTTATCTATCATGTACTTTAAAAAAAATATTAATATAGATAATATTAAACAGTTGTAAAAGAGACGCAAGAAGTGATTCCTTACAAGTACATATTACAATAAAATACTTGTCACTTGCCCTGTAAAAAAAGGGAGAAGCTAATTTTATAATACAGTAAATTCAAATAAAAATTGCAGTGTTTTTCAGTTTCTACTATACAGATTGAATTCAGACAATATCGATAAATTATGCCACTAAAATTATGGACAGTATGGTGATATTTGAAGTAGCATAGGGAGGGCTCATTAAAAAAATCTCCACACAGAGAATGATAAGTGTTTTTAAAAGTATAAGTGGTGGTTTCCATTGCTTTCATTTTGGCCATTTAATGTAGCTAATTAATTGCATGCCTTTTTTTACTGCACATCCTGTTGTCTCTGTCATTTTCTTTGTTGTTTTTACTCTTCCAGCTACCCAGTTAAATTACAGTCGGCTTCGAATTTTTTTCTTTAATGCTGTCATTATTGAACTGCTCAAAATATCCATTGATATTAAAAAAATAAAATAATGGGAATGGTCATGAGAGTATTCGTACATTTGTATTTGAAGAAATACTACTTTGTATTTTAGTAGTGATGTGTTTTCTTTTCCCTTTAAAAGGCAAAATTATTTTGAAATCTGCTTTTCCAAAGGCTGAATCTTGCAGTCTGTATAACTCCTGACTTTCCATTTACTTCGACAGCTGGGGATGTTCAAAGGGTGCTGGCAGCAGTAAGGGTGGTGTCCTGTCCCAGTGAAGCTAATGGTAGAAAAGCTATTGAATTTGGGTTTGGGATTTGATTCTGTGATTCCAGAGAGCTAAAGTTTTGTTTCCGATTCAATTCTTATTGCAAACTGTGCACATCTCTTTCTGATACAGTGGGAGGGAAAACATATGGAGGCCTTTCTTAAAATTCTGTTTAGAGATTATTTTTTTTTAATTAATTACATTTTTGTTGAATCAAGGTTATTTTTGTTTCAGTGCAGCTCACCAGTAAATCTACTCATTTAATTTCCTGATCAGGTTGGAAGGTCAAATGGACTTTGAGGCTGTGATCATGCAGTATATATGCACGCAGAATGCCTTTCTGACCTCACTGGGGAAGTTTGTGTTCACTGGGACTCTGGAGTGAGGCCTTTTAGTAGAATATATGCCTTAGCCAGGAATAAAGCAGGAATTTCTATTGATCTGTCAAAACTTCTTTGATCAGGCTTTTTTACTATCTCGTCTTGAGTCCTTTTTTTAATGACATTTATTATCAGATTGAAATGGCGATTGAGACACTGCAAAAGTCTGATGGTCTGTCCACTCACAGAAGCTCTCTTCTCAACAGCCATGTAAGTTGTCTCTTCTTCACATACACTCTCTTGCTTGTTCTGCATGCTTAGCCTGCCTCTAAATGTTTGCTTTATTTTATTACTACTTTTTGCTCTTAATCTTCTCATCTTAGTTGCTTGTAATCTTCTACTACATCTCCCATGGCTTTATTTTGTCAAATGAAATGTCTTTATAGTATATTGCAGAGTGTTACCTGTTTCCTATGCTCTACACCTGTCTTAAGACAAGTTAACATGTTTGTTTTGCAGATTGTACTGTAATTGTCAAGATAAAGTTCAATCATTCTTAATTAGCTTTTGACATTTTAAATTAAGTTGTCTACAAAGCAAAGTCTGTGTATCCTCTATTAATTTCAGGGCATGTGAAGAGGAAGATAAGAAACAAACAGCATGCCCAAATAATATCTTTAGATTATTTTGAGGTGTTGCTTCATTTATTCTGAATAGGGAGTTTATTAAGAAATGACCTACTTAAGAATCTTTAAGGTCCTTACGATGATGTGGAAAAAAAAGAAAGCATTATCTAATTTGAAGTACACAAAAATGTTTTATTCAGTTACCTTTTTCTTTGTTCATACCCTGCAAATCTTAGGGTTAAGGACTTCTCACATATGAAACTAAAAGCTATTTGGATAACATGCTTTCCAAATATAGTGATAAATCCATTATATGTAACTTTAAAATAAAGGAAAGAGGCCTAAACTGATTATGTAAATAATAATATTGCTTTGTAAGTTGATAGTCTTTCCTGAAATATGTTTTCTGTTGGTATTTGTGTTTTTGTATTTTGTATTTTTGCCATGTTGATTAGTTTGTATTCACTTTGGCTCTTATTTCTTTCTCAGATTTACTAATTATATAAATTCAAATTCCTTTATTGTTTTACAGAATAAATTCAATTTGGTTTGTGGTCTTAATGTAAGAATATGGTGGTATAGGCTGTCAGAAATCAAATTAAAATTTTAGCAGGTTTGGGTTTAGGGTTTGGATTTTTCTCTATAGGTCTGGTTATGTCAAAGTCAAAACTAGAATTGTATTCTGGAAACTTTAAACAATTTATTTCTTTAGAAAATGCCAAAATTTGAAGAGGAGAATTGTGTTACAGAAAGTTATACAAAATGTTATACAGAAGGACTTCTAGATTCCACCTTGGATGTTTACAAAATAATTGTTTTGAAGATAAGACAGTATCAAAATTATTATTCAAATAATAATAGGTAGTATTAGACATATAATATCAAAATTATTATTTAAATGTAATTTTTAAAGGGACCATAACTTTTTTTGGCAAAGCATCAGAATTTTGTTTAGGACTTGGAACACTTGAACTGTTGATAAATTTGTGTTTAATCTTATTATGAAGTCCAGAATCTTGATACAAAACCAAGAGGAATTACGAGATAAGCTGCTGTGCCCCAGTAAACTATGTTCCTCTCATACCTAGTGCTATGCACTGTTCACAGTGTGTTCCTAATAAGGAGATTAGTATAGAATCAAAGAATGGCCTGGGTTGAAA